ATGTGCAGTGAATGATGGGTCCGCCGTATATATTATTTGCGAGCAGGAGCAAGTAACTTAGTGGTACGAATGGCACCGATTTTCCTCCACACAAACACTGTGCCGGTGAATGGATTGTACTGATGTACCATTATACGAGTTCCAGGTCGCCAAAAATGCCCTGCGTTCACCTACTAGTGGAGGTCTTCGACCAATGGCCTTAAAAGCTTAGCATGGATTAGTATGCATCTCCCTAAACTCAGCTGTATTAAACAGCAGCCTTAGGGAAGTTATGTATTATATTCCCATAGGTTTTCACTGTTAGCCAAATATTGATAACTAGTATATAAGTCTACCAATGTCTCATAGGATGATTGGTCACGGGAAGCTACAACTGCATTTTCTGCTGAAGTGCAAGATAAAAGCCTTCTGATGAGTACCGAGTACAAGGTGATGGGCCAGGTATGCCAAAAGATAATGTTATACTAACAAGAAGAAAGGATACTAATGTGTCACGGTACTAGTCCGAGGAACAACCTGCATTTTTAGATCAAGGTGCTTTGGATCACAAATTAAAGTGCATTGTGGGTTAGCCTGGTGGAATACTTTAGCATTGTCAACTACTAGCGAAAAAACTTCATCTCCCTTTTCTTTAATCTTTCCCTCTGAAAATACCCAAGCTCCGAAACATTAATCATCCTACGTAGCCAGACTGGTGTATACGTTATTGAAACATTTACACAAGTGAGCTGTGTGTGTAGCATGCGAGCTAAGGCAAACTGCAGCATCGCTATACGGTGTATCAACACATCTTTTGTGAGGGTACCTGGCGACCACAGCAACCTGCGCCGTGTAATACTGAGAGCCACACGCACAATTGACACCCAGATGTAGGTTTACATTCAAAGAAGCAAAATTGCTAGTTCTATAGTGCCTAACAGTAGCAACATTGCTAGTTCTACTAGACCCATAAACACACCGTTTTTTGACAGCGCATAGAGATTGCGCACCTGGTGGGTAGCTGGCTTTGGCACTAGGAATTATGTTTCTTGTATATACATGCAAATCAAGGAGGTCCATTACATGTCATAGCGAAAGTTGCACACCCCTGAACACCAGTTTGTTTTGTTCTATGTGCAGAATTTTGTGAGGTTGCTGCACAGTCCTGAAAAAACTGATGTGGCTGCAACTCTAATCTCGGAGGGTCTACTAAGAACTAATAAGAAGGAAGAAAAGAAAGCCTCTAATTTGGTAAGTGTAGTGACTACATGACAAAAACAGAAATAATGAAAAACACTAAAGTGCAAACCCTCGGTGAACTGCGCATGCACGGTACCGCTAATTGATGGGCTGGGCTATTTGTAGTATATATGCGTACTCGTGGTCTCCTGCTAGAGTAGCTCGCGGAGAGTCTGGCACGGGCTAGCTACAGTAGTAGATAGCATGCGGGAGTCGATACACGCCCTTCGTTCTGACTTCTTGTGCCTCCAAGGTACGCAGAGCAAGTGGACCCGGTCGAGGTAAGCCTGTGCTAATTTGCATATTGGCTTGTTCACTTGCCATATCTTCTGAACGCGGCACATTTACAAAAATCACCATTTTGAAAATGAAGCCAGTGTAGAGCTGAACTCGTTGGTGTCGCTATTTTACCTGTTTGTCACGCGTGATGGCAGAAAACGTGGACAGACAGACAGACCAACCAAGTACTGTAAACCCCTCTAGCGCATGTGCGCCGAGGGTTAATAAGGCCAAAATGTTGCTTGTTTAGTTGGTATCATTTGATGCAGGCCTGTAGCCACCAATTAGATTGGGAGGTGGATTGTATGAAAACGTAGACTGCTGTGCATTAGGTGTGTTATTGGCGACCGAAGCAAGCCTACTTGGTCGTTTCGATGCGGTATAATTAGTATGTTAACTTGCCAAATCACTAAGTACCACCAAACTTGGTGCACATGTGTATTTCATTGTTTCCATGACAACCACACAAAAGGTCTCAGGAAGTTTTCTTTATAATTACTTTTTCACTCCTCAAACTTGCTAACGGTACCACCAGAGATGAAACTTGGTACACATGCGTGTAACATGATTTCCATAACAACCACTTTGTTTGAACAACAACAAAAGCCTCAGGCAATTATCTTTAAAACTAAGTTCTTCACTCCTCAAACTTGCTAACGGTACCACCAGAGATGAAACTTGGTACACATGCGTGTAACATGATTTCCATGACAACCACTTTGTTTGAACAACAACAAAAGCCTCAGGCAATTATCTTTAAAACTAAGTTCTTCACTCCTCAAACTTGCTAACGGTACCACCAGAGATGAAACTTGGTACACATGCATGTAACATGATTTCCATGACAACCACTTTGTTTGAACAACAACAAAAGCCTTAGGCAATTAGCTTTAAAACTAAGTTCTTCACTCCTCACGGTACCACCAGAGATGAAACTTGGTACACATGCATGTAACATGATTTCCATGACAATCACTTTGTTTGAACAACAACAAAAGCCTCAGGCAATTATCTTTAAAACTAAGTTCTTGCCTCCTCAAACTTGCTAACGGTACCACCAGAGATGAAACTTGGCACACATGCATGTAACATGATTTCCATGATAACCACTTTGTTTGAACAACAACAAAAGCCTCAGGCAATTATCTTTAAAACTAAGTTCTTCACTTCTCAAACTTGTTAACGGTTGTTAACGGTAGCACACATGGAGATGAAACTTGGTATATACGCATGTGTAATACATCATTTCCATGACTACAACAGGCATTATTCTCTATTATTAATTTTTATAGGGGGCTTGCCCCCTTTCACAGAGATATACGTAGTAGTATATAAAAATGAGTGGAGACAATAAATAAAAAATCCTGCGAATTAAGAGAGGCATATAGGGATGGTATAAAAAGGAAGGGAGACAAGATAGGAATGGGATACATGAAGCATGGTTAATGAACAGATTTGAGCACGCTGACACCCTGACCCCATCACACAATCCCTATATTGTTGCCTAGGTGAAGTACTAAACATTCAACATTACACAATAGTCTCGCAGTACGAAAAAGTCATGCTACTGAGTAACCAAGAGTACAAATGGAGTGGCACGCCAGGCAACAATATAGGGATTGTGTGATGGGGTTGGGGGTGTCAGCGTGCTCAAATCTGTTCATTAACCATGCTTCATGTATCCCATCCCTATCTTGTCTCCCTTTCTTTTTATACCATCCCTATATGCCTCTCTTTAAATTTGCAGGATTTTTAATTTACTTGTATACTGGGCATTCGTTTAGTAATGTAATTGATGGAATATGCAACTTGATTAAGAACATGATGAATGTCAGATTCATGTGCACAGTCAAATTTAAGCCTGCGTGGGTGCGAACGAGAATAATTATAATTATGTCAGCAACATTTCAAGGTTTGTTTAGAGTATAGTGAATGTGAAGAAGTGCTAAATTGAACAAGCGAGTTTGACCTATAGATGCCCGCATGTAGCTTTAGTGCACTAGAAGTGTACCATGAAAGCGCAAGAAGTCACAATGGAGGGCTGGTATCGAGTCCTGCATGCTTCGTATCAACTAGTGTAGCTAGCTCATGCCTGACTCTCTAGCCCTTGTCTGATTCTGTGCGAGCTTCTGGCAAGAGACCATGAGAAATCGACGCACATCAATTAGCAGTACCATGCATGCTTAACCGATGGGTTCAACTTTTCTAGTGCGCCAAGTGTTTCACTTTAGCTTTTCATTTAAAGTACAGGGAATTATATCCAGCCTGTCTCAGCACATGATGTACACTTTCTGCTCTTACTTCTTAGTGTATGTCAGCTGTGAAATACTGCATTGTATGTATATACCTACATACACGATGTACACAAATACCTCTGTACGAGAAAGGAAGGAACCTGTAGAAGTAAGGACAAAAAGGAACGGGTGCGGATAGCTTTTGTCAGTGTTGTCACATAAAGCTGCCCAGATGTCTATATAAGTACACCCCTGAACTCTTGGACCTGGCTCGTCTGCTTGGAAACAGACCAGTGGCATAACGACGCTACGTATGTACAAGGGCGCGTGAGAAATTACCTAGTATGGGCGTAACTGTATGCATTAGAAAACTTTCCTGTCTCTCATTGCACCAATTTTATTCATTTATCAATTTTACCTGCTTTAATGCACCCACTTCTACCGTGGAGACTTGTGAATATCAATGACATGATCAGTACTTGAAGGGGAGTACATGACTAAGGGATAGAGCTTTGTATATACTAGTGCTTATTCTATAGTACTTTAGATGACGTGCACCCAAATTCGTCTAAGAAAGTCAGGTATCAAAGTGCAATTCAACGATACCAAGGGAAACACGTTATACTCATACTAAAACACTACGTAGCCAGACCTACAACTTTACAATCAGGGTGCAGTAGTATCCTGAGGCCATAAATTCCATGGCCTGTCGCGCTGTGCCACGAAGATACAAATTGATTTTATTCTTGCCGCATGGTGAGGCGGGGCAATGTGACGTATTGTCAACCAAGCCTTGGTCTCATGTGCAGAGAGTGTGTACCAGGCTCCCGCAAATGAGGAAACGAGGGGTTTGTTAAAAGATGTCAGGAGCATTGCGTAACAAGCAACTTAATAATTAAATCACATCTCACCCACTATGATCATCTTGTTTTTTGTTTAGGTTGCAGAATATTATGCGAAAGAAGCAGTAGCTCGAAAATCAAGGGTGAGAAGCTAACCCATGTTGCCTACACTGTGTGCATACTGAACATTAGCATACTGGCTACTTTATGTTTTCCACACACACCAATATATAATCTGTGTAACACCTTGTACACCAATATAATTCACCTGGCTTCAGCTGTTGTACACATCTGTTTTAGGTAAACATGTGGCAATATGGGGACTTCACACCAGATGACTGTTTGGAATTTGGTTATCAGAAGTAATGCATCAACATAGTATATAATACTTATTAGTAATGTACTTTTGGCAGTTCTCCACGTTTGTTGTGTCAACATGTATGATGCTAACCTAAATTTTGGAAATCAACAAAATCATTGTGTACAGCAAGTGTATATTATTTCAAAACACCTGACATTGAGCACATCGGCATTTGTCTATTATAGGTAAAAACACTGTGTGGTTTTCCATCCTTCCGTTGCATAAAAATGATAGTTGTCGCTTTTTGACAGAATGTTGCTCGGATTTACAACAGTTGCAGTCTTTTTGAAGATAAGGCGGAGTTGGAATGACAACATCGTAAGATCTGCATGTACCGTCACAGGTTGGAACTTTTGTGTAAGCCGGTTCACAATCTGGCCAATCAACCGAAATATACTTCCGCACTCGTGTACACTCCGCGTCTTGTTGCGCCGCGCCAAATTCAACCCAAAGAAGAATTGTGATGGTCAGAAAATAAAAGAGTGCTTTCATCTTTGTCGACAGAATCCTTGCCTATAGACAGAGGGGAGAATCATAACAGCGACATTTCAAGACTTCTACCAACCTGCTTGGCTGGACAAAAGATATGTCAATATCGCTATGAACAAGCTCCTTGGTAGCGAAGTTTTTCCCGGTTTACTTCCGCGAGGCTTGTTTTATTTTCACGCATGGAACGCGACTGCGTGGGGTCGCATTTGGTTCCAAAAGTTCATGGAGGAGTGCGCGGGGGGGGGGGCGGAGGACAAGTTGCTCTGTCAGCATTGAGGTAGGCCACAGTATTCATGAGGAGTGGTATATAATAGTTCAGAGGTTGGAAGTTACGTAACACCCTTGCTCGGAGTTAGTCAGCAGCTTGTCTTTCCGTCGTGAGTAATAGTATCGTGCCCCGACCCTCGCCCTCCTCAAAAGAGAAAAAGCTGAGTGACCGGACTACGTATAGTTAGATCACGGGAACGAGTTCACTCCTCGAGGTTGGAATAATACCGCGGGGGAGGGGTATGTGAGAAGGATCGCACTAGTGACCGAGGCGGAGCCGATGGTGGTCACTATTATTGCATCCCGACCGCGAGGTTTTCAAACCGAGGCGACAGAGGTCAGTGTCTAACTGGCTTAGCTTCAATCGCGGCACGGATTTGTAGCGCAGTTCGCTTAGTCTTTTCGATAGGGTGCAAGACCGTTACCCAGTTTGCTCTGCCTTCACAGAGTTTTGGCTCATTGGCCCATTTGCCTCACGCTTCGAGAACGCAGGAGCGTCATCGTACTGAGCATCGCAGCAACTGGCGATGATCCTGCGAGCCCGACGGAGCAAACGACACTGCCACTGGAGCGCTCAGCCCGCGTCGCTTGATTGGACGCGATTTGTTGTTTGTCGCTAGTCAGACGTTGGAAATCAGCTACGTGGCTCTCGGGAACGCCTGACTAGCGACCAACACACAAATCCTCCAAGCGACGCGGGCTGCTGAGCGCTGCGATGCTGTTGATGGCGGCAGCTCGAAGCTAGGAGCAAATAGGCTTCCACTCTTGAGTTTTATGGATTTGACACTTTGTGAAACCTCAGTGATCTAAATTCTCACAGTGATCTAACTTGCAACTTAGAGACTTAGTACTTAGATACCTGGCAGACCTATTATAGTACTACGGGTTTTAGACACTTGATTACTACGCTCAACATCAAAGGGAATTATTCATGAGAGGTTCCAATGAGCGTTGTGCGCGCGCGCGTGTGCTGACTCATTGTCGAGTTTATAATAATATGCGCGCCCGTATGGCACGCCCCGTTTGTTTTCGTTCACGGAATCCACGGAGCTGCGTTACGATGTCATCATGTCTCGTGGCAAACTGATTCGGTGTCTCAAAGTAAGACTGTCGAGTCAGCACAACCACCAGACCCTTTTCCTGAGGGCGGGGTCTGGGCACGAAACACAAAGCTCTCGCTGAACAAAAGCCGGACAAGTATCGACATGGTTTTGTAGACAGCTAGGCAATCGCGGACACAACGCGCATATCTACTTCCAGTCGCGGATTTTGGACTCGGTTAATGATTTTTAAAAATGCTCTGTTATCTCTGTTCATTCTGGACACCGTCACCCTCAATTCTCCTTCTCCTACCATCTGAACAACACCCAACTGCTAAGGAAAACAGCTCATACCAATCTAGGTGTTGTGTTGACTCCTGACCTCAAATGGAGAGAGACCATTATGTGTCTATTATGGCTAAGTCTTATAAAGTACTTGGCTTACTTAGAAGAGTCTTCTCGTCCGTTTACTGCCCCCGGGCTAAGAAACTTCTGTATGTATCCCTCATTCGATCAAAACTACTGTATATGCTGCTCACCCACCTATCTGGCGTCCTCACCTTCTGACTGATATTAAAGCTCTGGAAAATGTACAGAGACAGGCCACCAAATTTGTTCTTAACAGCTATGATTCTAACTATCACCTTCGATTGCTTGACCTTCAATTGCTTCCACTAATGATGGTCCTCGAAAGTAATGACGTATATACTATTCTTTATTAAGTCTTTGAAGGAGCCATCTGTCATTTCGACATATCCAGATTTGTTACATTTTGTTCAGGCCAAACTCGTTCTGCTTCCTATTAAATTGAAACACGTTTTAGTCAGAACCAATAACTCTACTTGAAACTTCTACTTTAATCGCCTACCTCGCCTTTGGAACTCTCTCCCTCCTCTTGACATGAGTCAACAATAACATATATATAAAAAGTAAACTCTACACAAATTTTTTTGAACCATTTCACTACGAACTTTGATCCTGACAATGTGTGCTCTACCTCTGTCCTTGCCGGTCACTCCCAGTCTCCTTCAGTTTTGACTCTTCTCTCCTCTAAAATTAATAATTAACTATTATATTGTGTTTCTTTTAGCTGCCGGTTCACATCACCATCAGACCTTCAGCACCATTCCACATTTTCATTTGCCCTGTCTGCTTCTGTTACCTCACTAAGTGCTGTAAAGTCATTATAATAATAATAATCGCTATATCTGTTACGTAGCTACGCTCGTCACATCCCTGCATATTGCCACGGAGCTGTGCGCGTGGTGCGTCTTGCACGGCCTCCACTCTTCAGTTAGCTGTCATATCTCTCTAGCTTACTGTATGACTGAACGTTGTGCGCCCATGTAGATACTGCCGTGCCGCAGTAAGCGAGGCGGTCCGATTATTTCAGTGGGGTCCAAATATTTCTGGAATATAACTTCCGAGGGGTCCGAATATTTCGAAATATTTGGACCGGGGCGAACCAGAATAGGGTGGTCCAATTTGTTCGTGACAGCCTCTCAAATTTCAATTCTCTGATCTTAACTTAGCTGCAAAATTTGCCCAGGGACCTCTAAAACCTGCGCCTTTTACACATTGTCCACAAACTGAAGGTGAGCGGTAAATAATATCTAGCCTCAAAGATGCACCTGTGGATGAAGGTTGTGCATATTAAGTTTCGTTCCTTGGCTCACAGTCTAGCAGAAATAATCAAGCCTAACCGATTTTCGGAAGGGCCTAGATTCAGCAGCCATTTTTGTCACGTGACTGTCACATGTCCTTATATTATCTTGATCAGGATTGATTGATGTGTATCTTGTGTGAAAAGCATGTAGTGTGACTGAGTTATGAGCCCAAATGTCAAAAAATACAAGTTAGGTCCTATATACTATGTGCACTGCACTGTGTTAGGTCTAAGGATCAGTTACAAGCTCCTAGATGTGGTGCATGCTTACTGTGGTGTGTTTCCTCATACACTATAGTTTATACTTCTTCGCTCGTCAAACTTTCTAACATGAAGTTGAAACTCGGTACGCATGCAGAATCCTTTCCATGATCGACTACATGTTTGTAAACAATGACACAGCCTCAGAGAACTTTAGCACACATGGTTTCATGTTACTAAATATTCTGCAACTTACTGCTTTTCACAAGGATTATGAGGATATCCACAGTCAACACATAACACCAACAGCTAACTGTAAAATCTAGTCTAGGTACCAGCCCCTTGGAAATGAAACTTTGTACACCTGGTCATCACACAATTTCCATGACAAAAGCATGTTTTTTTTACTATTAGACTATTAACTGATTATAAACAGCACCAGAGAGCATCAGGCACTTTTCTTTAAAAATAATTTCTTCATTCCTCAACATTGCTAACGGTAGCACGCATGGATACGAAACTTGAATAATTATTACAGATGATTACATAACAACAAGTATAGCCTCAGGCAAAATCACTTTTAACTCCACAAACTTACTAACGGTAGCACACATGGAAAAAAACCTGGTACACATATTATACATAACAAGTGAGAATTGCGTGGATTTGCAGCACCTATATATGATGAATGTACGGAATATTATGATTACTACAAGATTGATAAAACAAGGTTTCCATTATAATAAGTTGGTTGGCAGCTTCAAAATGTGAAATAATTATATACATGTCAATCATGGATAGATACGTCGGTCTAGAGATAATAATTTTATGAGGGCTTATGTGGCCTGTTGTTGGAGGACCATCCATGTGCAGACATGTAATTCCGCGTCTGTGCTGTGTACAGTGCTCGTCTATATTGAGGTGTGTTTGCATTGACTGTACTACTCATCAGTGGGCAGTATCACAGTGAGAAACGCTTGGGTGAGTGTTCATATTATACCATCTCCAAGACGCCAGTCGCTTGATAGTTTCAGGAAAGCATCCTTTATATTGGGTAGTGAGCTGTGGGAGGATAAATTTGGTTCTTTGCTTGGCCTTGTTAAAGGTTTTATTTCGGATGTTTGGGAGCTAAGAAAGGTTAGGTTATACGGCGATAATCCCAGCGTACAACTGACCCAGTCTCAGATTGCATCTGGGGAGCTACAGGGTGTCGCTGGTAGAAGGGGTGAGTTGAGGTGTCTGGGAGGTGAGACAGACACCTCATGTTCATATTATGGTGTATGTTTGTTGGTTAACGGTTCCGCCCATTGCTCTGGGTGCGTGGTCTATGGCAGCCAGCTGAGTATTAATATTATTACCATCTCCAAGACAGCCACATATTTGTGGCCTCAGGCACTTTTCTTTAAATAACTCCTTCACTGCTCCAACTTCCTAACTGTAGCATGCATGGAGATGAAACCTGGTTCCAATGCCTATTACACCATTTCCATCAACCCATTGAACCTTGTGTTGACGAAATAATGGCTGCAATTTAATTTCTGTTGAATGTTTCATTGACAGCTCAGATGATGCTCCTCCAGTTACTGAAGCAATTGAATGCTCATCATCATCAAGGTACCCTTTGCAGTCAAAACCTAAGAGGTGCTTCCTCCTTAGTAGCCCTTACCACTGCGCTTGCAGACTCGAAAACGTACGCTTGTGTGTGTGTTCTACACAACAACGCTGCTAGGTGCTACCATTAAGTCCGACTCTTTGTTGTACTACTAGGAGTTTTGATGGTCTAGCCTCCTCCTCTAACTGTTGGACTGGAATTGTAATCAGTGTAGCTGAGTGCAACAAGTAACATAATGTTAATGACCAAAAATCACGACACTACAAGAAATATCAACAAATTAGTGTTTTTTTATATATCACTTTTTTTCTAGATCCGGCCTAAAAAGGAAAAAAACAAACACTATTGAAAGTTTGAAAAATGCAAAAACTGGGCAAGAAAGCCCATCACTAGTGCAGGATATGAGCAGCTGCCGCGTATTAATTTAGCAACATAAAACAATGTAAATTGGAACGGTATTCTGCTAACCTCGGGCAGGAACAACTGGGACGTTATAAGAAAACACACTGTCAGCATTAAGTCAGTGCATTCATTTCAGGAAAATTGTTTGAGTGCAGTGTTACCAGTGAAACGAGTCCAATCATTAGCATATGGTTCCATTTTGTTTCGTTCATTTGCTACTAGTACAACAGGGAGCTGAACTGCAGCTTTTCACGAAACAAAATCACATGTGCCTCGCTAAGGGGCCTGCCACTCGGCTGCCTCCTCTCTAAAAACATTTTGCATAGTTCCTCGGTCGTAAGGCAATACATGGGTAATGCTCACACGCATTATAGCCCTGTTAAATTAATGTTCAGGTATGTTAAAAGGAAAGTGTTCATGTAGATACCTCACCAGTCAGTCATTATGTGCAATAGTGACGAGATATTTCACCAGTCAGTGCATTGGCGACATTACTTACACACTTCCCCTTGATTCAAGTGAAGAACATTATGTCAACATGTTAGAGGAGCTACTGCATGCACTCTGAATACTATAATTTAGCTGATATTCAAAGCAATGGCTTTTGCGCATAATGCGTATGAGGCAGTCACATTCAGGAGCCGTGCTCTCCAGGTTTATATTCTTTCTCATGTTGTTTGCAGTGAGGCGATGGCCAATCCACGATATTCCCATTGTGGACGCTTATGGCTAGTTCCGTGTGAGTGCCACGTAAGAGGTGTGGTGTAGCTCCTTTGGGGTACCTTACAAGAATTTTCAGTGCGGAGAATACGGAAATAAATGGACAATATTCAAAGATATCCGGTAACATACCAGGCCGTTTTTCCTTGGCAAAAAACGGACTGGGAACGAGGCCAGAATACCCTATCACTGCCAAAGTTAGCCACTGGATATAGGAAGAGTTCATCAAGACTTTGTGACGTGAGAGGTGGTACCTATGATGGAGGGGTGGTGCGTGTATCGTGAGAGGTGTGGGTTTTTTTGACGGAGAGGTGGTGTGGTTTGAGAGGTAGTACGCGTTTTTGAAGGTACATGTCATAAGAGGTGGTGCTTTTTGCGGAGACGTGGTACTTTTTGCTGAGAGGTGGTGTGGGTACCTACGCGCATGTGTATACACGCACACTACGCATGTGTGTACAGATAAGAAAACACAAGGCGGCATACAGCGATGTTGTCAAGCCGCTCCTACTAACTTACTTTGAGCAGGTCCAGGCATAACTGATGCTTCGCAAGGCGAGCTACACAGCGTTGCTGTGTGCCGCGGCTAGATAGCTGTCTCATGTTGTTTGCTTCATGCGCAGTGCTCGGCTCACTGCGCGTGTATACACATACGCGTAGGTACCCGCACTAACTCTCAGCAAAAAGCACCTCCTCTCAGTAAAAGTACCACCTCTCCGCAAAAATCACCACCTCTTATGACACACACACCACCTTCAACGACGCACACTACCTCTCCGCCAAAAACACCACATCTCTCACCCTTCCACATAAATACCACCTCTCACGTCACAAAACGACCACGTTTTGATAAAAATAACCACCTTGAGGGTCGTAGGCAGCACGTTTTAAGTGAAATCTGTGGATAAAACAAGCCTGAAGCAACGGTAACACAAACGAGTATATGGAAGTTATGAAGCTGCGCACGTTTGCGACAAATATCTTCAAAATCAGTGAAGAGCCATGGATCAGCCACGTGCGATGGTCAGCCATCAAGGAAGCCATTACGAACTTGGTAACCACTTTGTCATCATTCTATGATTACCTGGATAAACGAGTGAGAGTTGCTTCACAGCACCAGTCAGTGGTGCCGATTCCCTCGCCGTCCATAGCACAGGCATTCGTACATCTGAATCGCAGTAATTCTGAGTGGTACAAGAGCCTTAACAATGCTGTCCAGCAATCAGAAGAAACTTTCCTGAAGTGATCTGTGCCCCCACGATGCTCGTCAATGGAGATATTACTTAGATAATCTTCTGAAGGGCCTGACAGTGAATTCTGTTCAGTTTAACCATGCGTATGGCAACCATTTCGCACACTGCATTCTATTTGGCGTGTTCCGGAGGGGATCAGCCCGAGAGATAATACTCTCTGAATTAGTGAAGGGAGGATTGACATCTAACATAAACGTTCCATGAGGAGGGAAGCACAGCTTTGGTCGTTATGAAGCCAGCCTTCCTCCGTGAACTGTACAAGAGATTCACTGGAGATGCATCTGCCACTGATGAGCCACATTGATGGTCAGCTGTCAAGGGAAGATAGCTCCATTAAGATTCTGCCTGGCTTGAAGAAGTTTCTTGAGCACTGTCACCAGGAAAGGTTTATTCATTCGGCATAAGATGTGTGTCTCAACTGCCTGTTCTATCTGTGCTTCACCACGATTGCCTGCAGAGGTTTTCGAGACTGATGGGTCATGCATTACAGTACGTCACTGGTGGAGAAAAGCAAGAACTCCTATGGAATACCCTTTCAACCGAACACACAATTCGCAAGGTGTATGTGTGCCTGCAGTGCTGCGAGTGCATAAAGCCTTGGGTACTTTCACTCTTAGCGTAAGCTCAAGCTGCAAGAAGCACAATACCTGAAGGATCAGCTGTTGTTGGCATAGTGTATAGCTGTGGAAGCCTTCTGAGTGAACTCTTTGCACAAGAACCATCATCCCCTGAACATGATTTTGTTAGCAGTGTGTTTGATCGAGCAAACCTTGCATGTGCCAAAACTGCTTCAGGTGATGTGTGCATCCTTGCATGTGCCAATCAAGTCAGGGTAGTAGTGCCTGTGAAACTACGAATTATGGCCCAATTGTACGTCATGCTACACGACCATGCGCAAACTTTTTCCACGTCAAATAACTGTCTCTCTGTGATGGATACTACGTGTACTCTCGCTCCCGCTCCCCAAAAATGCTCTGCTAGTAAATATTACTTACTTAAGGTTCAACATGTTAGATACAGTCACATGTTCATTGTATAGTGACCAAACCCCTATGTAATGAAAAGCACTAAAGTGCAAAACCCTCGGCGGCTTGGTACCACGCATGTGGGTCTGGCTATGTGTAAGTGCTAGTCAATATTATTTGTCACTGTGACTTTAGGCCAATGAACATGTTTAGAAGACCCAGACTGGCTTTACAAAGCAGGCCTGAAATGAGAATAAACGGTGAACATGTCCTAAAGCCTAGAAACATAAAAATGGAAGAACGACAGAAACCACCATCATCTCATCAAATCACAAGTACACAACATCACGCGGGAATCAGACAATCATAGAACAATTTGGTTCAAGGACTGACAATATCACCATCACGAACCCAAGTATCAGGAAATCAGTTTTAAAACGGGCCAGCCGGTTTTAAAGCCGTCGAGACGGATTTTACGCAGTCCAGACCAGTTTAAAGCCGTCTACAAGCCGTCCAGACGGCTTTAAAACCGTCCAGCTCAATTTCCAGATGGCTTTAAAACTGTCCAGCCTGATTGACGGCCGTCAGTAAGAAGCAACCTATCTACTGTTCAGCCCTGATTTTGCGATCTATCACAGCAGTCGGCCGCAAACACGACACTCGTCCCGCCCATGCCCAGGGGGCTTAGCTGTCACACGTGGTGAGAAAACGATGCGCGCGCGCAAGATCTATCGCGCACTCGGCGGTATACGTGACTCAGCTCCCACGATCACCCGCCCAGCCCGTCCTCGTTTTCTATGCCGCCACTGGGCGCAGTCATCGACAGCGCTCGCAAGGCCGCTGGCTGGAACAACAGCTGCTGGCACGGTTAGGACACTGCTGCCGGCCCTGCATAATTATATACTTAGCGTTTAGATTTATTTCACTAGCTAAACTAGTGTTTAGATTTCGCTGCACTCTTCACTCGTCTTCCGTTGATCGCATTCCGCAGTGCACAAAGAGCAGAATCCGGGCGGGGTAAGCCAATACTAATTAGCATATTGGCTTGTTCACTTGGTTTTCATGCCATAACTCTCGAACGCAGTAGTTATATGAAATACCCAAATTTAAAATCAAGCCAGTGTAGCGCTGAACCTTTTGGTACCACTCTTTTGTTGTCTCGTTGCGCGTGGTGGCAGAAAACGTGGTAACAGACAGACAGACAGACTTACGGACCAAGTACCGTAACCCTTGCTGCACAGGCGCGCCGAGGGCAATTGTATGTGAGAGTAATACATATGGCACTTACGCAAGCATTGACTGAGAGCCACCACTTATAAGAATGTATGGAGTTTGTGACTTCTTCTGCTTTGATTGTAGCATTGCTAGTGTGTTGAGAGGGGTATCAACAGAGCTTGATTTGTTCATGAACTGTAAAGATACATTAATACATTATTCATACATTTGGCAACACTCAAAAGCACTAAAGTGCAAACACTTGATGCAATAAACGAGAGTGCATAGCGCTGAGGTGCATACACTTTTAAGAGATGAACAAGCAACACCACGCAGTGTCTAACCATTGACGGAGCCTGTTTCTCGTTATTTCCTAGCAATGCATTACGGCAAGCAAAGGGAGCTGTTGTCACACATTTAGAATCGATACGTGCAGTTCCCGTCGTAGGTAAAATCGAGCATCCAGAGAACTAGGCAGGCTGTCGCCAATCACAACCCCTTGTGTGAATGGCTAATGACATGTATGAACTACGAGGTAGAAAGGCAAAGGCACAACAACAAACAAGTCAGCTACGTACACCCAGGACAACTGTTTTTTTTCCAAGAAGAAGATCTGACGTAGGTGGGTTTCAACTCAGCAGGCGGAGGTTCAAATCTTCAACACAATACAACACAAGGGCAAACCTCAAATCACTGTGCTATAGCACAGTATTCTCTCACTAAGTATGTAGGAGCAGACCAGGGTAATGAAACAACCAATGACCCCCCAACTCCAAACTGAGTATATGCATGTATAAACTACGAGGTAGAAAGGGATACCTAATTCACGCACGCGAAGTGCTTGCACAAAGTACATGCAGTTTTATGATAATAATTCATAAGTATTTGTAACCTAGGCATTGTTTTGATCTAGCTCACATGTTCTTCCCTCAGTTTCTTCATTCGTTTCTCGGTTTTTCTTTTGCCAGAACCTCGCCCGTGGAACTTGTGAGACATGTACCTAAAAGCCTAAATTTTAATGAAGAAACCATGCATTACAAGGAAAACATTTTAACACATACCTAACCTCTTTAGGAGTAAGGTCTCTTCCCTTGTCATCAACATACTCAATGTTGACATGTGGATTGTAGGATTTTTTCTCTGGAAATAGCATGATCCTAGAATGTGACAAATCCCTAGAAGGAGAATGGCACTAATTACGCTATATAAATGCTCACAATCAGTCAAAACATTTGTAGATATTTCGTACATCTGCGTTATGGATTACATTGCTCTGTCTCTTACTTCGAGGCTTTTCTTCATTACCTCGCTCGATTAAATGTCACACTTCTTTCACATTTCAGCCGTTACTTGTTCTGGGAGTAGAGCGGTACAAAACTATCGAAAGTGGCCACCCCTTTGGAATTATCCGGCCGCCTATGTCAATTTCCCCAGGCTTTTAAACACCCACTGTGATCTTCAGCACGTCAAAAATGGAAATTTAAAACACACAAAAAATCGAGCATCCAGAGAACTAGGCAGGCTGTCGCCAATCACAACCCCTTGTGTGAATGGCTAATGACATGTATCAACTACGAGGTAGAAAGGCAAAGGCACAACAAACAAGTCAGCTACGTACACCCAGGACAACTGTTTTTTTTCCAAGAGTGGTATCTTGTAGGTATCTGGTAAGCTCACACCAATGTCATGTTTTATGAGCAAGCTACGTACGTACATATCCATATACATGCATGTAGCATAATAACATGGCTGTCAAAAGCACTAGATATTACATAAAAGGAAACATCGTTGCACCAATAGAATTGTAGGATATCCGTACTCATCCAAATAGTAACGACGAGCAAGATATTTTTTGACATCAAAAAATAGTCAATACTATAAACGTTAACTGACATATAAATGTACCTTTCCCTTTCACGCTCTTTTTGTCTTTCATAATCCCTGCAATCAGCATTCTTTATGACCAACTCTTGACAAACTTAACTTACTTATCTCTGTGTACATCACTGTACACATGAACAACACTGCTTGAATCCTTCTTCTGCTTCGATGTATCAATAAACCCTTTCCTTCCAGCCATTTGCAGTGCAGCTGAGAGACCACTCGAAACATTAGGCTCTGCTTCTTGATACAGTTCCTCCTCCTAAGAAGTTTTAAAGCTTTCTCTACGGGAAGATTAGGTACCTGAGTCCTGAGCAAAAGTACTACAAGATTTAGATCCCGAATAACAGGTCACAATAGTGACACTGCATAATAGGTGAACGTAGACTCATACATGTCCTGTTTCAGTAGCTGACATGCCAACATGGAACAGGATATGCAGGGATTTTTTTTGCTTCCAACAATAGAGTGTATGCGTGTGCGACTTCTATAAACGGGCACTTATTCCGTTCCTAAACAAATGTTTGGGACATGAAATCATGATGAAAAACTTAATGCCATGAAATAAAAAATGTGTCGGTTAACGTTCCAACCCACGCACAGGTCTCGTGTTGCACCTACGTTGTAACCTCAAATTTTTTAACAACTGCAATTTATTTCAATAACAAACCTAAAAGCGTGTGTTTACAAATAAATAGATTATAGTATTATATATTATACGGTAACATGGATCATTTTCTGTAAGTAGATCAGGCTATCATGTAGACACATGCGTCTACTTATATTTATGCAACCACAACAGTGAGTACTACACCTTAGGCTGAAACTCTCTGGGGGCATTCACATCAACCTCAGTCCAGCTTCCCATCGCCTCCTGATAGTCTCCTTCCTGCACATCCATCCTATCTATATCGCCCCTCTCTTCTTTTACTACATGGTCCTCTTCATGGTTGAAGATAGAGAGATAATGCGTGTGTAATGATAAACACACCAAGAGAACAAACCTTCTTCTCCTAGCTGTCGACAAAATTCTGCTGTCTTGTCAAGAACAATCTCATCTCCTATAACATGAGCCCACTCAAAAATATTATATACTAATACTATCAAATACCTAAAGCAAACCTACAAATCTGACTTAGCTTAGTATTATGCACACTGTTTTATGCACAGAAATATGTACCACACTCAATAGTTATTGCCGGACCCCACAGTTAAGATCCAGAATTTGTATTCATACTGAATTTTTCCGAACATGTACCTGTCAAATCACTGCTGCTCATTCTTCCACTCTCTCTTTCACATATCTGAGCAACTTTTGCAGCACCAGAGGTTCGTGAAACACCTTCTTTTACTAAACGCTTTGCTCTGAAATATTAAACGACAAACATAACTGAAACCCTGGTTGCAATTGCAACAAACCTCTGAAATGCAGTCCCAATAAGTGGATCAGTATCTTCCTCTTCCACTGAAAAAATCACAACTGTTAACAATGGCAATTTTCAAACAGTTATATACATACACTTGCTAATACTGTCTTCACCATCAGCACTTTTCTTTCCTCGGGTTCCATGGTCCCTTCATCAAAGACATCAATATAAACAAGTAAATTAACAATCCTGTGAATTAAAAATAGAGCATATAGGGATGGTATAAAAAGAAAAAGGAGACAAGATAGGGATGGGATACATGAAGCAAACAGATCTGAGGATGCTAACACCCACGACCCCATCACACAATCCCTATAATTGTTGCCTGGTGTGCCCTCCTTGTGGACTATATTAATGGTGTTGGTTACTCAGTAGCATGACCTTTTGTATTTTCAAGCTAAAAGTCCTGACAATTGCAATTGTCATACTTCACCTAGGCAACAATTTTGGAGAGGGGGTGGGGGGTGGGGGTGCTCCAATCTTAACCATGCTTCATGACATGTATCCCATCCCTATCTTGTCCCCCCCCTTTAATACTCCCTATATGGCTCTTTTTTTTTATTTCGCAGGATTTTTAATTTACTTGTCTCCATTGTACTACGTATATCTCTGTGGCAAGCCCCCTATAAAAATATAATAGAGAAAAATGGCTGTTGTCGTCATGGAAATGATGTAATACGCATGCGTACCAAGTTTCATCTCCATGTGTGCTGCCGTTAGCAAGTTTGAGGAGTGAAGAAGTAAATGCCTGAGGCTATTTGTAATATGTGGTTGTCATGGAAACGATGTCATACGCATTTGTACCAAGTCTCATCTCCTTGAATGCTACTGTTAGCAAATTTGAGAAGTGAAGAGTGCCTGAAGCTATTTGATGTTGTTCAAACAATGTGGTCGTCATGGAAACATGAAGTTGTCATGGAAATGATTAATACGCATGTGTACCAAGTTTCCTCTCCATGCATGCCACCTTTAGCGAGTTTGAGAAGAAATTCGCAGGCTTTTTTAAATTTTCTTGTCTCCACTCATTCTTATATTACAAAATTCAAAAGGTGTGGAATATAGGGATGCCATAAAAAGCAAGGAGACAAGACAGGGATGACCTAGTGAACGTGATGCAGTAGTACAATGGATGATGGCTACATACTTTGAACTGCTCGTGTAAAATTTCCTCCACTATAGAAAAATAGCACCATAAAAGTAGCAACAGCGTAAAAATAGAGACCAAAATAGCACCTGCTGGGCCATTTTTCAAACAAAAAATGGCCCACAATTATGACACTGATCTTTCTTCATTGGTAGCGCCCTTGCTGGACGCCACATTCCACAACCCGCTTGGATTGCAATGCACCTCGCTTCCGCGTCTAACCTATATACGTAGAGAGTGGCCGCCGGGGACTATTTTTGCAACTAATAAACAGATAATGCTTTTCCAACATAATGGCTACAAGCACCTCTATGTAACTCTTGACTGGCATTATGTGGAACATTACATTTATGCCCATGCGTGATTTCAGCTCCAACAAGTGTTTCACAAGTGTCACACAGTGGGGGGTAGTCAATTTGGCATGCAGATCAAAGGCGCCGCTGGGGGTGCATCTTCATATAGCGCATCTCACAAGATTTGTTTTTTTTTGTTTTTGACACTAGCATAAGGCAATGGCTGATTGATGCCTGATCCTGCGGTCATATAAAGAGAACCCCCTTCACTGTTTTCTTGGATATTATATATACAGGCACACAAAATTCACAGAAATGTGCATAGTCAAGGAAAAACAAATGTACGCCCATTTTAACAACCTCCCCGTGGACCGACCTTTCATCCAACATATCACTGTCTGGTGATATTCCCAACAAGTCGTCAGCCTTCAGTTTTCTAACTTTTTTCTTTCGTTTTGGCTTCCTGAACTGAACCATCTCATCTTTTGTAAAATATTCTGAAGCAATCTTGGCAGGGGCTTTCTCTAATGTGAGCTAAATACAACAAGTAAATAAAACTTCTTCAAATAAAAAAATAGTAAAAGCAAGGAGAAAAGGGATGACCTAGTGCATGTGATTCAGTAGTACAATGGATTATGGCTACTGTCAAACTGACATTGCTTGCTTGAGCAAGTAAGTCAGTTCTGTACATGCCTACTTTGACCATAGAGATCAAAATGATATGTCAGAAGTGGGGTCTGACTGAAACTAAAAGTGATAGCGAATGTATGGGCAAGATGCTGTACTTAGTGATATACTACTGAGAGTACGGATAATGAAGTCAGTGCATGGCGGAACGTGAGCGCGTATTGAGGTGCACAATATTTTTCACTTGTGAATAAAGCACCACTTAATTGATGGGGTGGGCCACGCCAAGCAGCCAAACCCATCAACAGAGCCAGTTTCTTGCTATAAGCCAGTGCTGATGATGCATCTTGGTTTCTTACGCCATATCAGTCGTGTCAGAAAAATTGCCTGTATTCAATGCTCTCGTAGTCCTAAAGCCGTTGGTATCGCGCTTCGTAGCCTGTAGTGCAAGAATAGCTGCAGATGGACACACATACAAACTGAGTACTGTAACCTTCACTGTGCATGCACGCCGAGGGTTAAGTATAGGTAAGACGACAAATTCGAGTGTCTTCGTGGTTCTAAAGCCCGCGTGGTCGCCTGGAATGACGCAATAGAAACCTCAGCTCCACCTCGGTTACTATTATTGCGTCATTCCAATCTCCCACGCAGGCTTTAGAACCACGAAGACACTCGAATTTGTCGTCTTAGTTGTTAAGAAAATGGATAGCCGTACGGTTGGCTGTAGCTCGTCCGCATACAACCTTGGTTGGTAGCTGCTCTTTGAGGAAAGCACCGCGGAGGCGAGTTCTCCCAAGCCCATACCGGGCGCAATCCACGATTGCGCCGATGCTGGTAAGTACTGACTATTAGCGGCGGCGTCTCAACTTTTCGACGATAGCCCGGCAGTGGTGAAGCCTCCCGATTCCACACTGGGCACTGGGCACTGTCAACGATGACAGAGAATCACTGCTATTAGCAGCGTCGTAACTGTTCGAGTCAGGGCGAGGTCTGAGCAGTCTCAGCTAGTGATCGTTGCTTCTGGATGCCCCGGTCTGCACGTACTGTAAACGGAAGGGTCTTAGTTAGAAGTAAGCCACCTAACCACAGGTGTCTTATCACTAAGAGACCTGCGTGTAGGTATCTTACCCCAAAATGAACCTCATTAGCTATTCATTTTCAAAGCATTCTTGACATACCATTTTCTTACAATAAGGATAGAAACTTACTGCTTGAGACTGCAGCCTCATCTTTACTATTTGAGCTTCCCTTTCTTTAGATGTGTCCACATCTCCAAACTCGCCTAAGAATTAAAAAAAATTGGAGATTGTCATTCACGTAAGATATGCTATGCTGGCCATATACAACTACACACTATGCTATGCCTATACAGCTTGTTTCATTTACGTAAGACAGTGGAACACTATCAAGTGATGTGTTGTTCCAATCTGCAGCAGCACAGTATTTCCTAAGGTATGCAATTTGCATATGGCAAATCATGCAAGCTTCAGTGTCATGTGATTGCAGATTATTATTACCACCATGTATCTAGCCCTACTTGGCCTTCTATGCAGGGAACGTAGGTTATATTATAGCTACTAGACTAGGACCAGGATCAAAAGGTGCCAGATGATTGAGCGGGAGGCTGCGGGCGCTGGTTAGGGGCTCCGTAGGCTGTTCAAACAAACATCACTCCTAAAGTGTTCTTTGTGTCCTGCAGCAGGATACAACCCAGGCCCTCGTGCTGCTAGCAGTTGTGGGTGTGACTATGCCAGAGTCAAGTCATGCACGTTTATAAACAGGTCATGCCTTCAAGAGTAACTGAGGTGTAACACAAACAGGTTATGCCTTCAAGGGTAACCAAGGAGTAGCTACTACACAGAACAGCAGGACCATAGCTGACCAATAATTCCGTGGAAGTCGCTGGTATCCATAGCTGGTATGGTGTATGGCTGCTGGAGCAACGGTAGATTACCCACTTTTCTTCTAGCAGCCGTAGCAGAAAAGTGGGTAATCAACAAACTTGGTGGCTCAAATTGGGTGACAGGGCCAGGATGAATGTTGTTGTTATAGGAGTAGGTTTCGGACTATGTCTGTCTCTGGTAAAACACGTGCCATGAAAATACCAGATCAAACACCTATTGTTGGCTAAAGGTCTCTGGAGTGTTGTTGACAGAACAGAGGTGCTGGCTGATGATGCAATGGCCCAGGCTTGTGCTGGTTTCAAGATAAGATTGCAGATGGTGTTCTCATTAGCAATTTCCATGACGAGTATATGAGCATAGACACCTAGTTAAATACTTATTCTTGCTTGCATTTTGCATTTTACTGTCATTTGTGGGAGGATTGTAATTGATAGTTATACCCAGTTGTGGCAAAAGTGCAGAGTCTGTTTTCAGCGGAATTTTTTTTCCAGGTGTATAGCTATGCTCTAGTGACATCTACATATGCCTTTATGGCTAGGATGCAAGCAACCTACACACGTTACAGATCAGAAAAGGTTTGTGTGCTTCGATGACTGGTTATCACCCGGTTGTTCGTCCTTTTTCATCGCTCTCTTTAGGTTTAATGGTTAGTGAAAGATAACATTAGAACGGGAAAGTTGCTAGGATTCCAATGGTGTTAGCATTTTTACAAAGTTATGACAATTGTTTGAGGGCTCAGGTGAAGTGAAGTAGACTTTAGGCATTAAAGACCAAGGAGGGAACATTAAATGAGAAACCTAACCATATTTGCTTATATTTTATGGGCTGAATTCCCTATGCCAAGGAACAAGGAAACATTTTTTGGCTTTGTACAAAAACAAAAACAATCTTGTAATTCATGAGTTAGGGTCCCATAGTGGCAGAACAATTGCACATGTAATATAAGTGTGCATGCATTCGTGCAAATGTGCGCAATTGCATTGAGGGTGTTCTATGGAAATTCCTGCATCTATGTTGTGGCATGTTAGCTACAAGTACATGCAACAGGACATGCAGGAATGTTTCGGCTTAAAATAATATTATGTTAAACCAACACTGTACAACACAATTGTGCAAGTATTCGCAGATGCATGCGCGACTTCTATTAAATGCGCATTTTCTGCACCTATGCACCCAAGCTCATGAATATATTAACGAGGCATTAAAACAAGGAATCAAAATATTTTGTTGTCCATTGGAAAAACCATGAGGTTTAAATTAGTATCAGAAATGTAGTCAGGTTCCTCAAAGAAGCGGTGCATAATAGCAAGGAGACAAGACAGGGATGACCTAGTGCATGAGAGGCAGTAGCACAATGAAGATATCCATTCACTATCCACACCACTCACTTCCTTAGCACATGAGACAGGTCTCTCATACCGGTCATGAGTTGTGACTGCATTGTGTGTAGTAATGCTGGGGTTGTGGCCCTCTACAAAATCCTTTCACAGGCGAAAATAGGGGACAATTCCAGTTTGAAGAATGTAGCCATCATCCCATTGTACTACTGCATCAGATACACTAGCCCATCCCTGTCTTGTCTCCTTGCTGGTTCTGTATATACCATCCCTAGATTTTTCTTTTATTTTGCATGGTGGGCAATAAAGTATGCTGAATCTTAAAATAACTACTTTGGTATGGTAGGAGTTCTTTAAAACATGTCTGTAAACAGCAACAAACAGCCTCCTTATTACTTTCTTATGCTGGGTTTTCTAACAATGACACTTATGAGCAGTACAACAGTCTCGGCCAATAAAAAAGGGCCACTAATGCACTTTTTGAGGTGTGTAGTAAATGCGGTGAAAAAGGAATGGAGACTCTTATTTTTTTATACTAAGGGCTTCCGTACTCACCAAGCTCAAAATTTGCCTTTTTGACTCCTTCAATTTCTTCATTATACTTTTTCAGAATTGAAGTTTGCTGCATTGCCTAAATGGGTAAATATAATCATAGATTTTGTTCATCAAAACGTAATGAATGCGCTACCTCTTCGTCCATCTCTTCATAGGGATCATAGTCAGTCCTTTTTCTCCTAAGGTGAATGTTACGTCTTGCATGTTCAGATTCCAAAATATTGATATTAACAAGGACATCATCATTCTCCTCAAGAACACCTGTAACAAATATCCTGTAGTTTTGACAACACGACTATTTTGATGCCTCCACAGAATTTAGGTAAGTAATAATTTAGCTTTATGGGTTTCCTGTCTAGTCTGATGTATAGTACCCAAACATTTCGTACGTTAGCAACATTTGGAGGGTAATAATACATACGGTGACCTGACCTAAATTTTGAACAAATCAGATTACACCTGTATACCTGAGTCTTTTAAAGTCAGAACAACATCCTTTCCCTCAACAAATTCTTCTTCTTTATGTTCCACTATTAAACCCTTCAAATCACGAGAGGTGTAGGTCTGATATAAAAAGAGGAATAGTCTGATAAAAAGAAGAAAAACAAACCTAGGGAGAATACCCCGTTATTGAAAAAAATCTACAAATACCTGGACAACAGCCTCAGGCAAAAAAATGTAAATGGTGCTTATGCCTATAACTTGCTTACAGTGAGTCCTCTAACAATGAAACTTGATGTATCATGATAAGAGTTCATTGAAACAGAAAAGTTGTAAACAAAAACAAACAGTGTCAGGCCAAAAAAAAACTTGAACATACTGTTTTGCCTATAACTTGCTTATGGTAAAATGAAAAAGCACTAAAGTGCAAACCCTCGACAAACTGCGCATGTGTGGTACCGCTAATTGATGGGCTGAGTTATTAGTATGCATTTACTCGTTGTCTCCCATTAGTAGCTTGTGGAGAGTCTGACACGGGCAAGCTACAGTAGTAGATACCATGCGGGGGTCGATACACAACCTTAGTTATGATTTCTTGTGCCTTTAAGGTACACATGTAAGCCTGTTTCAATTAGAATATTGGCTTTTTCGCTCGTGCTTCACGCCGTAACTCACGAGTGCAGCAGTTTCAGATAAAACCCCAAACTGAATACATGGTATTGTTTGTGGAGCGATTGATGGCCCAAGGAGTGAGATGTCGGGTAACGGACTGACTGACAGACAGACACGACAACTACCATAACCCTCGCTGCGCATGCACACCGAGGGTTAATGACACTTGGTACACCTTTGTGTACTTTGGCAGCGCAAGAAACATGTGAACAATGACAAACAGCTATATAGCTATTGAGGTTCATTTGGGGTAAGACACCTACACACAGGTCTCTTAGTGATAAGATACCTGTGGTTAGGTGGCTTACTTATAACTGAGACCCTTCCGCTTACAGTACGCGCAGACAGGGGCATCCAGAAGCAACGATCACGAGCTGTGACTGCTCAGACATCTCCCTGACTTGAACAGTTACGATGCTGCTAATAGCAGTGATTCTGTATCATCATCGACAGTGCCCAGTGTGGAATCGGGAGGCGTCTCCCCTATCTGGGCTATCGTAGAAAAGTTGAGACACCACCGCTAATAGTCAGTACTTAGCATCGATGCAATCGTGGATTGCGTCCGGTATAGGCTTGGGAGAACTCTCCTCCGTGGTGCTTTCCTCAAAGAGCTGCTACCAACCAAGGTTGAATGCAGACGAGTTACAGCCAACTGTACGGCTATCCATTTTACGAAGACGACAAATTATTCGTGCCTTCGTGGTTCTGCAGGTACGAAGAATGTACTTTATATGGAGGTTTTAAGTAGTTACTCGTACATGTAACGAAAAAGGTAACTCCCGTCAGTGCTTATCACTACTGCCCTTGGGCTGCACCCCTCGTGCAGTAGGCATAGTTATTAACCAGACCCTTCCTCCCTTCTCTCACGCATGCCTTTACGCTTGCGTATATATATTATTGTGAAGGGTCTGGGCACCAGACTAACTGTGAAGATGAGGATGAGCCTCCCCACCCTGTTGTTTCTGCAGTTTTCATCTAACATCATTCGACGTGCCTACAGCACTCACAACCCTTTACTGATAAGCATCTCGTGTATATTCCCGGCATATATTATAAAGCCATGGGTTAAACTACACTTATATATACCCCACCCTATTAATGGTTATGCTGTCATTGTGTTGGTCCTACATCTTCTTTTTTTCAGACGTATGAATTGTTAGCACACACACATACGTATGTATGTTCTACAGTGCAGCCCCTCGTGAACAAAAAAGAGTGGGCAACAGGCAGGGTGGTAATATATGATCATACATGGGAGAGTTCAAAGAATATAACCTTTTCCTGCATTGCACCTTCTACCAGATCTCCAACTCCAAATTCCTCGTCCATTTCAGCCAACATTTTCGCCTATAAAAATACACATACAAAAAATAGGCGACACACAAATGTAGGTGTAGTTATACACACTCGTCTTTGTGCCTTCTCCTTTTCTTCTTGAGCTAAGTCAAACTTTTTTAGCCACGATACTGCACTGTAATCATCATTATCAGGTTCACCCAATGTCTTCACTGCACTGTACATATAATGTAAAAAGTGCATAATAGTATTATACTAAAATACCTAAGTTTCTTGTGTTGCTCCCGCTTCTCTCTAATTGTTTCCATCTTCTCTCTGAGCTATGTATATAAATATCCACTAATAAAAATAAAAAGCACTAAAGTGCAAACCCTCGGCAAACTGTGCATGCATGGTACCGCTAATTGATGGTCTGGGCTATTAGTATGCGCTTACTCGTGGAGAGTCTGACACTGGCTAGCGACAGTAGTAGATAGCATGCGACTTCTTGTGTTTCCAGAGCAAGTGGATCCGGTCGAGGTAAGCCTGTGCTAATTAGCATATTGGCTTGTTGACTTGATTTTCACACCATAACTCTCGAACAAAGTGCTTTTATGAAAATCGCCAAATTCAAAAACAAGCCTGTGTAACGCTGAACCTGTCTGTGTCGTTTGTTTCCCTTTAGCCTTGGAGTCACTGGGAGGTTGGAGCCATGAAGTAGCCCTACAAATCACCAGAATTGGCAGACTAGTGTGTCAGAGGCTTGGTACCACCCCCGCAGAAGCATTTTCACATTTGTTCCAGCGTTTGTCCATCTGTTTGTGGAAAGTGGAAAGGAAATGCAACTATGGGGGCTCTCCCCTTCCGTCTCACTCAGCTTGGACTGATGGGAACATTTGGGTATAATATTATACGTATGTTTTGCTTTTTGTTTTGTTTAGTAACCAAAACCAGTTTTTGGCTGGTTTGTTGCGTGTGGTGGCTGAAAACGTGGTTACGGACACACAGATGAAGTACTGTAACCCTCACTGTGCATGCGTGCAGAGAAAGCTCAAAACCCTCGGCACAAAACAACCAGTGACTATGTTAACAATATGAATGAAAAAGCACTAAAGTGCAAACTCTCGGCGAACTGCGCATGCGCAGTACCCCTAATTGATTGGCTGGGCTATTAGTACGCGTTTACTTGTGGTCTCTCATTAGTAGCTCACAGAGAGTTTGACACGGACCAGCTACAGCAGTAGATACCATGCGGGGGTCGATACACGCCCTTTGTTGTGACTTATTGTGCCTTCAAGATACACAGAGCAAGCGGACCATCGCGAGGTAAGCCTGTTCCAATTAGCATATTGGCTTTTTTGCTCGTGTTTAATGCCGTAACTCACAAACACAGCAGTTTCAGAGAAAACCCCACATATGTTTTGATCTTTATCTGACGCTAAATACGTGGTATTGTTCGTTGAGCGATCCATGGCCTGTGAAATGAGATGTCAGGTAACAGACACACAGACTGACAGAAGGACACACATGACAACTACCGTAACCCTCGCTGTGCATAGAGCACTGGCCTCTCAATGAGCCAGAGTTTCTTCCTGCATCAGTGGGTAGCAACACCGTACTGGATAAACATCCTAAGTCTTTTTATCTCTCCACAGTGTGCCAAACAGGTAAGGCCTGGTCGTGGCTGATTAGGGATATTGGCTTTAATACCATGCCAAATGCAACAGTTCCAGGAAAAGTCGCTGGCATTGCTTATAGGCCACCTCGTGGCCTTTAACGCCAGAATTAAAAATAAAACCCTCGGCGCATTGCACATGAGCGGTATCGCTTATTTATGGGCTGGGCTATGCATTTACTCGTAGTCTCCTGTTAGTATATACCTCGCAGGGAGTCTGACACGGGCTAGCTACACTAGTAGATAGAATGTGTGAGTCGACAGACAACCTTCGTTATGACTTCTTGTGCCTCAAAGGTACACAGAGCAAGTTTATCAGGTCGAGGTAAGCCAGTGCTAATTTGCATATTGGCGTCAACGCGGTAGTTATACAAAAATCACCTTTTTAAAATGAAGCAAGTGTAGTGATGAACCCATTGGTATCACTGTTTTGTTGTCTCGTTGCACGTAGTCGCAGAAAATGTGGTAACAGAGAAATGGACAGACGGACAGACAGACACACACACACCACTCACAAACCATGTCCTGTAGCCCTCGCTGCACATGCACGCCGAGGGTTAATAAGCGTAGAAAAATAGACGGAAAAAATACGGTAAACCTCGCTGCGCATATGCACAGTGTTAATGAAAAGCACTAAGTGCAAACCCTCGGTGCAGTAGAAAAAATAATGCTTGTAGCATGTGGCAGAAAACATGGTACTAGACAAATGAAAAGCACTAACAGTGCAAACCCTCGGCGAACTGCGCATGCACGGTACCGCTAGTTAATGGGCTGGGCTTTTAGTATGCGTTTACTTGTGGTCTCCCGTTAGTAGCTCGCAGAGAGTCTGACACGGGCTAGCTACAGTAGTAGATAGCATGCGAGAGTCGATACACACCCTTCGTTGTGATTTTTTGTGCCTTCAAGATACACAGAGCAAGCGGACCCGGTCGAGGTAAGCCTGTGCTAAATATAAGCGCATGCGCATTTTCCGCAGCGATAAAATGGCGACTACCGGAATTAGCCGTACAATGCTGGAAGCGCTCTAGCTTTGCAACGGAGCATTTTCAGAGAAAACCGCACAAATGTTCTGACCTTCATTGCCCGTGAAGTAGGTAGTATCGTTTGTGAGACGAAAAAAGATTGGAGAAGTGAGATGTTGAGTAACAGACACACAGACAGACCCAACTACCGTAACCCTCGCTGCACATGCGCGCCTAGGGTTAACGAGTGACACACATACTTGCTACCAATTCTAGGGTCTCCCTCTCTCTGCAGACAATTTTTAACGTACGACTTTTGAACCACCTGGTCATACGTTAAAAATTGTCCGCGGAGAGGGAGAACCTGGGAACGAGGCAAACAACCAATACCGTTAACCTTGCTGCGATGCATAAGCCAAGAGTTGCAAACACTCACATGCATTGAACACAAACCTTTTCAGCAGCCTGAAGAGCACCAAGGTTACTTGGAGGTGCATGTACTTCTTCTGTGACCTGAGCTGAGGTATAGAAAAATTGCGCTGATGTCTTAATCAACTACACCAATCAAGTAAGCTACGTACATACAAAGGAGGAATGCAATGCATTGTTAGTGAGCGAGCGGGAGCAGTTCAATATTTCACGCGTTTTCTGCATATTTAGAACATTACGGTAGTGACAGCGCACGAACGATAGAGAGAGAGAGAGGAAATTCCCGCATTTAAACGACTAGGTAGGCTCATTTCGCCCGCCAAAAAAGAGGTGGGCTTATCTAACTACACATTTGGAAAAGGGCCTAGGATAGGGGTAAAAGGTGTAATTGAACTTCAACAAAACTTCATTCAGGAAATTGATACAAAAATACAGATTGACACTCAACATGAACTTACATGACGTTTTATTGTCACCTTGTTCATCTACTTGCAATGGCTTTAGACCAAGATTTGCCCGCAGTTTGCTTGAGGCAAAAAAGTGTTATTATATACAACAACTGCAACTTTTCTGACTTACTTTGTCTCTTCAATGTTTAGAGATATCTCTCCTGAGGTCTTTGTGCCACCTGGTGCTAAAGGCATAGTCACGCAAATCACTCTGAAAAGCTAATATATAAAAGTGGAAACCCTTGGCGCAGGACGCTCACACTGTTGTACCAGTGTACCATGCAACCCTATACTTAGAGATTACTAGACATGGTAAGATTCTTTGACACTACATAAACCACCAACAAATAGACACACACCTACTTCAGAAAACACCAAAATCAATGCACTAAAATAGGGGAAACGTATCTGCAACAAGCTGTATGGCCAGAGAACATTATGCTTTAACTGTATTACCTTCTTCAGGAACACTCTCATCCATTGTCTTAGACTTCTTTGTTGCTGAAGTTTGTTCTTCGTCTGATAAGCTACTTGATCTTCCCCTTGCTTGATGGTGCCTCCTATTATGTCCTGATGACTAAGAGGAAAAAAGGCTCTCGTACATACGTATCATAACTATACATAACATGACAACCTATTAAAAGACTAAGACACAGCACTGCATTGGGTAAGTATTTCAGAGCAAAAATGTGTTAGTTGCAGAATGGGACGATATGAGATGGGCACTGCACAAACCATACTACTTCTACGTGGGTTCAAGTTTAACGCCAGTTTCCACATCTGCTGAAAACAAGATGCTTGCACCAAACTACACAGCGGTGCAAATCTCTACCATCACAGCAAGTGAGAGTGCAACGTCATTGAGGAATCGTCACATTTTGAAGGCAAAGAAGATCGGGAACGGAAACTAAAGTTTGCAGGAGGCAGCATCTTACTTCAGTAACAGCTGAGGGGTCGGATGCATTTTCGGCATGTGCTCAAGAGGCCAGGGACAGCATACAACCTTAACATCAGATAGACGAGTTAGCATGACGTCAGCTGAGGTTACAGCTGACTAACATACTAACTGCTGAGCAATGACTTCACCATGATGTAATCATTTTGTGCATGTGAACATGTAATTTGTGTGCTTAATTGTGTATGTTCATGTGTAATTCACATTTTTGCCGCAGCCATCCGTAGCCGTGGGTGACATCATGCAAAATCGTCCATAATTTCTGAGGTATCAATGGGTATATATCACTGTGCACGTGGAGAAGGGTGTGTGCAGCGAGTGCATTCAGTCTACTTAGGCCCGTTTTTATCCTATTAACCATGGTGGTGAAAGAGCACTCAGTCGTCACAGAAGGGTGCACAATATGCAAACAAACATACAGAGGTTAGGGTACATTTGCGTTAGGTGGCACGGTTTGTGTTGGACTCACTCCTCTGTGATCAGAGGGTTCCTTCACACCTGAAGTAAACTTCACATTCAAGATATTCTGGAGATAGTACTTTACTTGAATACAGTACAGAAAGGCATCCTTCCCTCGCCTATTTCAACATTATGAAAGTTCTCTGCTGGTGTGAATTGAACCGGAATCCATTTCTAACATCAAGTGGTCTCGAGATTGTGGAGTAGTAGTACATGCTGACGGGCTGTCTCTTGGAGTATTGGAACGATGTGTCTGCTGCCCAATCTATGAGGCAGATCTAGTACTACACAAACATTTGAGCAAGTTACGGGTACTATTAAATCCGAATTGCGTGAAAACAGTAGAAATAGCATTTGTAAATACGCACACTATTAGAGCTCATTAGGTCCAACTAAACATTATGTGCTGTACAACAATGCGAGTTAGCCTCGTTTCATGGCTCCCTCTCTCCGCGTGCACAAATCGTGTGTATGACCTTTGATCTAGAGAAAAGCTGGGGTTGTTACAGCTGGCGAGGAAAGTATGTATGTGTACCAGAAGCTCTGACCCCTCCGGTTGTTTATGAAATCTTGAGCAGTTGCATTGTATGATGGCTACTTCGTACAGCGCTCAAGAGGTGACTCCAGCCTGTCGGTCTTGCTCTTCTTCGTCCTCACAAAATTCTCCCCGTTACTCCGCCTACTCAGAAGTGTATGCATCAAATGGTATCCACCCCGAAGCTCTGGCTGTAAAACGGTGTCAACCTGTGACGTTGCTCACCCTCCGCTTTTCTCTAGGTCAAAGGTCATTGGCACCATTGTGCACGGAGAGGAGAGGAGAAGCCTGGGAATGAGGCTATAATATGCTGGTTACGGAGCCTTTTGCTTTCATATACATATGGCACAAGTAGAGTGAGTTACAAAGACCAACCTATCTCTTGCCTAACATTACATAACCTTGTTTCAGTAGATCATGCACTTTCTGTCATGAATTATAATCCCCGCCAATTCTGAGGGTCAGCAAAACCACAAAATTAAGTAGTCGATAAAAATTGTCGCACTAAGGTATCCCTTCAACTTTCCGATACCTTTCTGCATGCTGGTGTTCCATATTGCTCCTAGTATTTTCTTCAAATTGTGGGCTCATAAACTGCAACTACAATATCTCTTCATTATTCGATGTCAAAACCTGCAGATACTTATGTAGGACAAGAGTTGGTGATGACAAGGAGGGCACGAAGTCAGTGATGGTACAAGCAACCTAAAACCCCTCCTATCTTCTGTGAGGGAGTCTGAAAACCAGAGGCCATGCATCATACTATATACATACTGTCAAAAACTGGGTGATGCAATATGCCTGGAATATGCTCATTCAATCAATTACCCGAATCCTCCTGGTACGACAAATATCCTTTGGTTTTGAGAAATATCTGAGCATGTGTGACAAGTGTGTTGCCTCAGGTTGTGTCTCCGCTATTGACTTTCCAGTGCTTTTTGTCACATTGAATGTGCGGCAAAGAAAATGGAGACTCTAACAACTATGCACATCATACTCTGCACATACATAACTTCACGTGATTTTACAACTTCAAGGTTTAGGGAATGTCAGGCAGGTACAATGGAGGGACGAGGCAAGTCAAGGCTACTGTTCCTCTAATTTGGAATTGTTATGTTCCTGCTCTGCCACTCCCTGTGCGTGTAGCTTGGTGAGATCTAAATCATAACCTCTGTTGTTGCGCTGCTATTAATTTACCCAGTGTCACAAAGTCAATCAAGTCCTCTTTAGGCAACTCAGTTTCCTAGTCAACATATTATCTCAGGACAATGGCCAAAGGCTACTTACTTGTTTGAGAGGTCAGTAACTTACATCTACAATCACACAAAACGTGTCACCACTTAATGAATTACTCACGTCTTGAGGACGATCTTTCTTGTTGTCTCTGTCACGTGACCGTTTTCTTCTCTTTTCCCTAAAAACAATTTTAAAAAAGGCACTCATGTTTAAGCAGGTTTCTGCAAAGATCAGACTGATCGATAACCAAAAATAATTTGAAAAATCACACAACTGAAGTACTATTGTTACACATAACAGTGCAGTCTGTTGGCAACAAATTCATAACACAAGCATAACACTGCCAAACACTTGTTTGTAATAATTATAGCATTAAACAACCATACTTTCAATAACTGCGTCTTTAGAATGTCTCTAACTCTGAGGCTGCAACGTGGTAAAGATAAGGGAGGAACCTCTCCAACTTGAGTCCCCCTCTACTCTCCAGAATTGGCTGACCCTCAGATTTAGTGGGTACTAAAGTCTATCCCCCTCCTAATCCCTAGTGTCATGTGACCTTCAGCCATTCTATTTTGCCACATGCACACCACTTTAAATTGCTTAATGCACTGAAGTGTTCATAAGCACTGAAGTGTGAATGAATGTGCAGTTGCCATGTAAATAGTAGAAAAATACACAATTCAAGAACCCGAGAGACTCTGTAGGTAGTAGGTGTAACCCTTCGTTAGGCATGCGTCACAACCCACTCCCGCTCTCTAAAAGTATTGAGTGACAAAATCTTTCAAATGCACACTATTTCAAAGCTCTCACTTATCCCACCTGTCTTCACGCCGCTTTTCCTTTGTCTTTTCATTGTCTCTGTCTCTAGATCGATCCCTCCCTCGCTCGCGTGATCGATTCCTCTCTTTTTCTTTACCTCTGTCTTTCTTCTTCTTTTCTGAAACATAGTAGGCCAACGTTTTTACACATGTAAAGCTACACCACACCTTTCTCATCATCACTGTTTCGCGTATCCCGATCTCTTCTTGACTCCCGATCCTTCTCCCGCCGATCTTTCCCCATCAGCTTTGCCTTCAGCAGAGTAGTGTGCTTTAATAAGGGCTGGCCATTGCGTCGACCTTGGGGTCGCGCCGAAGTGAAATCCGGGAATCCGACTGAATATTAGCTGTATGCCGATGATGTCCGGCCGTTTCCTTGCTACAAACAGGAGTGTTTTTGTTGGAAAAGGGTCTACAGATGCTGCCTACAAAGTTCTAACTAACATAATGCGCAATACTGGGCTAGTGAGCAAGGTATGACTTAGCTCGGTGTGTGGCTGTGTTACTATTTCACACCATTAGATAGCACGGGGGAGATTTTACGAGAAGCCAACTGAAAAACGAGAAAGGCTGGAGTACGAGAAGTGCAACAGACTCTACAACAAGGAAATGAAACGCAAGATAGAGTTTCTCATGAAACAGCATGATCCACTGCCACCTCAGTAAAATATTATGTTCTCTGTAAGGCTTAGAACCTTCAGTAATAAGAAGATCATCAATCAAATGGCAAAATTAACTTTAAACATTGCCACAAAGCTGTCGGAATAATGAGGGTAAAAGAAGTCACTGTATACACGTGTAAACCATTACTGTACGATATTCCTAAGTTTTTTGGAGAAACAAACTTGCGTGTGTTAAGTAGCATGTCACACTTGTGCAACATTTTGCATTGGAAAATCTCTCAGGCATCTAATCTTATGTCTTACAATGAGAACATGTACAGCAGATCAACTTGCAAACGCACAAGGCTGGCCATGCCATGGAACCATGTGATAAAATTAGTTATGCAGTGGAATTATTACTATTTGTAGGACAAGTTAATGCCTTTCACACTTATTCAACCTGTCACTCTCTTTTTTGCCATGGATTCAAACTGTTAATTGTAAACAGTACAGTGGCCTCTTCATGCATAGACCCTAACTACAGACGAATCTAGTCTAATACAGATTTTATCCGACTGGGACAGGAAGTAGGCCAAATGCGAGTTCGAAAAACAGGCCAGGGGTCAATGGTTATTGCACTACTTACCATTCAGGTTGTGTCCAAGGCAACAACAAGACTGCTTTTCAGAATTTTATTTGGAGCTATTTTTCTCTTACTGCTTGTGTTTGTGGGAGATGTCTGTGTTTGCAGTGCCTTGATTGCTGTAATTGCCGCTGATAAATGTCTTGATGTGGTTTTCAAGGCATCTGCAGTTTCACAAGTTGCAACAAGTACGGTTATTTTACCAAGTAATTGCTGTCGAAGTGCCTCCAGGCTACTGTGTTCTCCACCCTCATCTAAAATTCTAGCAAAGTAGTCTACTTGGCTTGCCGGGGTATCACATTGAAAGTCTCGTTGAGGTCATTGAATGTGCATGCTTGCACACTATTGCATGACGAATAGAGTCCATGCAAGTGCATGTGTACATGTGGACACACGCCGCACAGGTAGATCACCTCAAATTGCAGTTACATTCCACTTTTACAAGCTTCACAGTGTACCTGATTGTGGTGACCTGTATGCCTGTTATCTTGTAACCCAGTCATGTGTACGTCATCATTGTGTTGCGTAACCAGTCATGCACTTATGCATTGTCAGATCGCCTATAAATGTGTATGAGTTGTACTGTCATGAAGATTGTGTTGTGTGCTAGACCCAATGACTGCAATGTCTCGGGGTAGCGCATAACACTGATGTAAACCCAACAATTGTACCTGGGGTTAATAAATGCAACATTGTTTTGTTTGTCAAAGAATGAACATAGTCTCAACACATGCACCTCTGGAAAATAACCGCATGCAGAAACATTAACCTGGTATTATAAGAGAGACAAACTGTAGAGGTGTCTTATCCTGCTCTCCACTCCATCCATAACAGACCAACTCCTGTGAAACCTGCTGCCATCCCTTACAGAAGGAACACTCTAACTGGTGTCATCTATGGTTAGTATATTTTCATCCAGTGGCTCAAATGTAGGCCCTGGTAGATTATGCCAGAGCTTTTGCCTATTATTCTATTCTTTTATTCCCGTAGATGATGCCCATTATTCTGTTTAAGTCGCCTATTATTCTTTTCACTTCACCTATTATGCTCCTCTGAAATTTGCCAATACAGTGAGAGAGGATTCACATACGTAGTTACAAAATGTATTTGAAACAAGTATAAACAATCCGCAAATACCAACTATACACAGCAGTATCTTACCAAGTACAAAAAGTCATGAATGAATGTGAATGAAACCAACTATACAATGATACATTAGGATTTAGTATATAGTTATTATTGTATCATGACAGATAGCTGAATGTAATCCTGTAAAGAAGACTGTTGTCGATCTGAAAATGAACTAGCTAATATTGAAAATACCCTTGCAGCTGCTGCCGACGATGGCTGTACCAGTAAAACCAACTTGCGATTACGAGCCCAGTTAGGTAGATTGTCCTCATGTGCTTTCCACCACTCGACTGGGTTGACCTCTAGACAGACACATCTAGATCTGATGCGGACTCAGCCATGCGTGCTGGAACATGGTAGTTCTAGTTGATGAACACTGAGTCCTTCATGTGCGCATGCGCGATGTATATAATGTACACGTAGTTACGCAAGCACCACAGCCTACGACGGATGATCAGCCGATTATGCCAGAATACGACGGATTATCAGCCGATTATGCCAGAATAATTCTTTCTTGCAAAGAGCACCTGTATTATGCTCAAAATTATGCTAGCATAATCTACCAGGGCCTACTCAAATGTAGGTAATCTTTATATCGTTTGGTAATCTCCGAGACCCTGTGACTATATTTTCCTTTCTCCAGTTTTGTTAACTGCTCAAATACCTTATCACATGAGATTATTAGCAGTGCACACAGGAGGAAATCAACCCGCACTGGAGGAAATCAACCCTTCTGTTGTGTTTTTGTTGCAAGTAAACCACTTTCAATGTTCTAGGAACCACTCAACAAACATGTTTGTGTTCACTACGGATCCTATTCAACAATAAGATGCCCACTCGCTTAGACGATTACAGTAATAATAATACTCAGGTGGCTGCCATAGCACTAGGGCCATAGACCACGCACCCAGAGCAATGGGCGGAACCGTTAACAAACGAACATACACCATATGAACATGAGGTGTCTGTCTCACCTCCCAGACACCTCAACTCACCCCTTCCACCAGCGACACCCTGCAACTCTCCAGACGCAATCTGAGACTGGGTCTGTTGTACGCGGGGATTATCACCGTATAACCTAACCTTCCTTAGCTCCGAAACATCCAAAATAAAACCGTTAACAAGCCCAAGCAAAGAACCAAATTTATCCTCCCACAGCTCACTACCCAATATAAAGGATGCTTTCCTGAAACTATCAAGCGACTGGAAATGCTCAAACCCATCATCCCCAAGCTTCCCCTGCAGGAAAACTAAGAAGTTGCTCCTAAGACTACTATATGCTGGACACTCCCCACAACACATGACTCACACTTTCACACTCATCATCGCACAACCGGCACTCCTTCATACCCTCCCTCCCCCTATGCCTACCCTGTTCCTCATTTAGCCCATGCGTGCCTGACCTGAACTTAAACATTAATCTAGACCCAGCATCACTTTTCCCATGCAAGTACTTTTTGAACTCTACCACCTAATTGTTAAATATCTTATACAACAACAGCTTTACTTAATTTAGCCCCTGTTCAAACTTTCTAATCTCCCTCTCATTAATACTGTCCCTACATAGACAGAAAGCCTTAAAGAGGCATACCATTTTGAATATCATGCACCACTCTGCTTGTCACGACCTAATGACGAAAAGAGATCATACAATGACTTACTCACACTTCCTCTACCTGCTCTCCGTGGCTTAATATTCTATTTCCTGGTAAAAAGCTTCTTCGAATACTATTGACTGGCAATGCGCTCACTTATACACACATTCAACTTATTCTTATTCCTACGCCCTTGTAACGTATCAAGCCCCATATCCCCTTCAACGGCTTCATTACATGTCTTAGACGAACACCCAAGAATGAGCTTAGCTCCTCCAGCATAGGGACTCTAACGCAGCTGCCTGAGTCTTATGGCTTCCCACACCTCACCCCCATACTCTAAAGTTGGCGTAAACACGCCAAGAACAACAACTGCGAGACTCAAATTAATATCTATACTAATTACACTATGCAATGATTAACCTCCTTCTACCATTGTTAACACATTCTTGATATGCACATCCCATGCACCAGTACTAGTAAAATCAACACCCAAGTATGTTATTAGATAGTTTAGGCAAACATACTCTCCCATTTCCAAGCACCATCCACTGACTCCCTAGCGAACACACATCACTGCACTCTTACTCACATTTAGCCTTAGCCTCCATTCCGACAGTAAGCATGCACACATCTATAAGCGTCTGTAACTGATCCTTAGACTCACTAACACCAACGAAGTCATCTGCAAACAAAAGGCCTCCAGTGTCCCACCACTACTTAAATCAATACCAATCTAGCTTCTTCACCTCCCTCAACAACCCATTGATAATAAGAAACAAAATGGAGATAGCTAATCCTGAGCTACCCCCTGTTCCACATCAAATACCTCTGACGTTCCCATCCAACAATACAGCACTCTTTGAATACTCGTAACATCATTTTTATGACCCTCCACATCTTCCCTCTTACCCAAATTCCCACAACTTAAACCTCAGGCCATAGCGACACTATCGTATGCCTTCTGCACATTCTAGAAAGAATGCATTATGTCTCCTTCCATTCCTTAGTCTACCCTGCACGAGTTCATCAGCGTATAAATATTATCAACACACCCCTTCCAACCTAAACCAGCCTGGCCCTCATGCATGCCTGCCTCGCTCAGATGCTTCACCAACCTATTGTTCAATACCAATACCTTA